TGCCTCAGCCTCCTGAGTAGTTGGGATTACAGGCACATGCCACCATGCCCAGCTAATTTTTTGTATTTTTAGTAGAGATGGGGTTTCACCATGTTGATCAGGATGGTCTTGATCTCTTGACCTCATGATCCACCCGCCTCGGCCTCCCAAAGTGCTGGGATTACAGGCTTGAGCCACCGCACCTGGCCTTTGGTTTACTTTTATTACAGAAAGTTGGGTGTTGAAATATGCCACAATAATTATATTGCTCTGTGTGTTTTTTGATTGTTAATATTTGCTTTATATATTTAGAAGCCTAATGTGAGATATACACACACACGCATATAGAAATTTGTCATAGGTTCTCAATAAGTAAATCTATTATTGTTTAATGTCCTCCTCTGTATCTTTGGAGTTTTGACTTAAAATACATTTTGTAAAATATGACAGTTTTTGACTTAAGATATAGCTCATGTAATGTTATTCTGACCTCTTCTGCTCTTGTTGCATGGAATGTCTACATCCATCTTGCCACTTTGTCTTTTTTTTTTTTTTTTTGAGATGGAGTTTTGCTGTTGTTGCCAGGCTGGAGTGCAGTGGCACAATCTCGGCTCACTGCAACCTCCACGTTGTGGGTTCCAGAGATTCTCCTGCCTCAGCCTCTCAAGTAGCTGGGATTACGGGCACCTGCCAACACGCCTGGCTAATTTTTGTACAGACAGAGTTTTGCCATGTTAGCCAGGCTGGTCTCGAACTCCTGACCTTGGGTGATCCACCCGCCTTGGCCTCCCAAAGTGCTGGGATTACAGGTGTGAGCCACTGTACCCAGCTCAGTCTTTTTTTATTATTAGGTCTCAGGTGACTCTTGTGGAAAGAAAAGTTAGACGGATCTTAGTTTTAAAACTTTTAAAATAAATTCCTTTATTGAAAGTATGTCTCTTGATTGTAAAGTTAAATATATATATATTTATGAATATGTATATTTAAATATATTCTTAAACAGAACAAATTACTGTTATTTTATTAGTTGTTTTGATTCTTGTATCTTTGTTCCTCATTTTCTCTCTTTCTTTCTATTTTTTGAGACTAAGTCTCATTCTGCCACCCAGGCTGGAGTGCTGTGGTGTGATCTCAACTCACGGAAACTTCCGCCTCCCAGGTTCAAGTAATTCTCCTGTCTCAGCCTCCTGAGTAGTTGGGACTAGCTACCACACCTGGCTAATTTTTGTATTTTTAGTAGAGACGAGGTTTTACCATATTGGTCAAACTGATCTCCAACTCTTGACCTCAGGTGATCCCCCTGCCTCGGCCTCTCAAAGTGCTGGGATTACAGGCGTGAGCCACTGCCCCCTGGCCTCTTTTACTTATTTCTTATTTTGTTTTGTGTATCTATATAGATACATAATTTCTGGTACCTTAGGGATTATATAAACCTCTAAAACATATAACAATATATTTTAATTTGGTAAAAAACGAACTTCAGTTGCATACAAAAATTATATCTCAGATTTTTAATTTCTTTATTCTCTAAAATTCCTTCAATTTTAGAACACAATTAAAAATGTTTTCTGCATCATTATGATTATGCTAGGAAATTTTATTTTTGTGTATGTGCATATCTCTCAGACAATGAATTTTTGTATGATTGTCATTTCTTGAATCATGTTATATGCAGTAAAAGAAACCGCCTTCAGCATCTTATGTAGCGCATATGCAATACCAATGTACTTTCTCAGAATTTGGGTTATTTAGAAATGCTTTTTTCTTCCTATTTGGCAGGACAGATTTCCTGATGGTATTATTCTCACTTGATAGCTTTTGTTTCGAGGAGTTTGACTATATCACACCGTTTTCTTCTGGCCTGCAAAATTTTAGATATCAATTCACTGGTTATCTCATAAGACTATGTTTGTTTGTTTGTTTGTTTGTTTGTTTTGGGGGGGGGACGGAGTTTCGCTCTTGTTACCCAGGCTGGAGTGCAATGGTGCAATCTCGGCTCACCGCAACCTCTGCCTCCTGGGTTCAGGC